GATGTGTTAAGGCAGCTTTTAAAACCTTAAATTAGCAACCTCTTAATTGACTGTTAAATATTGTTTCGATATCGATATGTGTATATTAGCATGAATAGAACGGTTGCCTAGCAACAACTACTGACATCAGGAGGGAACAAATGGGCTGGAGGATAAAATCAACCTGTCTGAACACCATATCGGGATGATGTTGATTTGTCTGACTCATATTCTAAAAAATACTGTACTAGTATAGACATTCGAAGAACAACACTGGCCTGATGTGATTTGAAAACTAAATTAAGAATTACACGTATTCCTGGTCCTGCTCTTCTGTGACGTTTATAGATGGGGCAGTGAGTGGAAAAGACTTGATCAGCATTAGTAAACGTTGTCAGTCTGCAGATGGCAGGTGGAGTGTAGTATCTGTTTTCTGTAACAAAAAGTCTATGTATGCTAAAAGCAACAATGGTAAGAGCAGAGAGAACAAGATCAAAACAGAGAAGATGCAAGCTGTAAAATCAAAACAACAAGCTTTAAGATTATAAAGAGGTCAGAGAAACTGCATCTGATGGTAATTCTCTGTCCATCACTAGCATCAACGCATTACACATACATCTACAATGTTACTATTAGTATTATTAGTATTAGTATTATTAACTATATAGCTTATAGCTTCCTATATGGCCCCCGGAAAGTAAACTATACTTCTCTGGTGAATTGGATTGTTTTGGTGCAGGACTGGCTTTGCTGGATGGCTCTGTGTAATTGTTTGTCCTTCCCGTGTCTTGCCTATGCCCACTACTGTAAAACGGTTAGCAAGTCCCGAACACATTTACTGTGCACCTTAGGCTATTTCCATCCTCTAACGCAGAGAAAAACGACATTACATCCATATGTGCCCCTTGTTTTTCCAGTGTTTAAGAACACCAAGAGGAGGAAGAAACGTATAAAAGATTTGTTTAAAGTGGACCTATCATGCTATATTTGAAAAATATATTGTAGGGCCATACCTATATAAAACATGTCTGAAGTTTTTTTTTTCAAAATACCAAACAGATCACCCATTGTAGCCATGCCTCATATTGCTCAAACCCCTCTTTTGAAGCCCTGTTAGAGAAACGCAGATTTTGGGTCCTTAGCTTGAAAAAAATAAATAAGAGGAGGCTGCGCTAATGCCTGATCAGAATTCTACCGGAGATAAAGTTAAATTCGGTTGTGATAAAACGCCATCCTGTTTAAACCACATCAAAGATTATTTCTGAAATAGTATGGAGCTCAAATGCTTTTTCTCTTGCGGGTTTATCACAAGGTGAGTTCTTTTTTTATTTCCTGCTTTCTAAACACATGTGCTCTACAGTACATTGTGTTAGTGAGGCTTGCTAATGTAAACAAAGACGTCCAAACCACGTCAGGCACGGGTCTCGCATTATATATATACCGTAAAACCGCACCAATTCAAAAAATGGCGGTACGAGATACTCGGTGTGTATGCCTATGAAGAGTCGGTCTGCCATTAGACACTGCAAAGCGAGAGAGTTTCAACCGGGGTAAACATAGAAGTACGCGGTTACTCGTCGGAGAGTATCCTTATACTTACTCCGGGGCGGAGGGTGCGACCATAGGTCAAGAATAATATGAGTACCAGGTAGACGTTGAAACTGCAGCGCGCTGGGTCTTTCAACGGGATA